GCCCCGGAGAATGGTTCGAAATCAGACCCCGAAAAAGCTTGAAATAAGCCCCTCTCCGAAAACCTTAGCAAGAATTGTTCATGTACAGGATCTCAGAATGAGAAAATTTGAAAGTTTGGTCGTTAGGTCGTACCAAAAGGTGCGAAATCGGCCCCGGCGAAAAGTTCGAAATCAGACACCGAAAAAGCTCGAAGTGAACCCTCCTTCCGAAAACCTTAGCACAATCGTTCAAATACGGCAACTCAGAAAAAGAAATTTGAAAATTTGGTCGTTAGGTCGTACCCAAAGGTTCGAACTCGGCCCCGGCGAATGGTTCGAAATCGGACCCTGAAAAAACTCGGAATGAGCACCCCTACGAAAACCTTAACAAGAGTCGTTCATGTACGGCAGCTTCAGAAAAGAAAATTTGAAAGTTTGGCGGTTAGGTCGTGTCCAAAGGTTCGAAATCGGCCCCGGAAAAATGCTCGAAATCGGATCCCGAAAAAGCTCGAAATGAACCACCCTTCCGAGTTCATGTACGGCATCTCCAAAGAGAGAACTTGAAAGCTTGGTCATTATAAGTGACAAGAGTTCGAGATCTGCCCCGCAGAAAGTTTCGAAATCGGCCCTGAGGAAAGGTTCGAAAACGGCCCCGTGTCAAGGATCGAAACAGCGCCCTAACCAAACTCGGCAACATCTATGCGATCTCGAACAAGAAACAATTTCATCGTGAGCTCGTGGCCAAAAATGCCACCTCTCACCCATAACCCCACAGAACCTACACCCTAAAACCCTAAACTCCCGAACCCTTACCCCCCGAAAACCCCATACACTCGAGACCCTAAACTCCCAAACCCCCGAAAATCATACACCCCAAAAGCTCTCAAGCAAAAATGTTAACCCTAACAGCCCTACCTAAACTCTAGAACCGACCCTCCAAACTCTGCAATCCTGACCTCCACAACCCTACGCACCCAAAACCCCAAACCCTAAAAGCCCTGAACCGCAAAAGGCCTAAGCCCCAAAGGCCCCAAACCCTAAAAACCCTAGGGCCAAAAAAACGCTCAACACCCTACACCATACCCTAAACCCTGCTAACCCTGAATCACACAAACCCTAAACTCCTAAACCCTTGAAACCTTGAACCCTCCAAACAACCCTAGAACCCTAAACCCCCAAAAAACTAGGCCGCGAAAACCACCGAAACCTTAAACCTTGAAAACCTAAAGCACCATAAGCCCCAAATAGCGGTAGACCGAAAAACCCTGACAACTACATTCCTGAACGCTAGTTCTTCCTACATCGCCCCCCAACCCCCTCCCCCCTGGCTGCTTTTGTAAATTCCAAGCCAGATGGAGAACGCTCAAGATCGTAGAACTAACAAAGACCCTGCGACAAATATGACATTCATCCCAAGTAATACATTCGCAAATGGGGGGGCCTGCGCCCCCGCCAACCCCCCCGATCTTTTTCAACATGGGCCCGTGTGAGTGCCCACCACATCTACATCTCCCTAGAATCTGGGCTCCTAAAACAACTATGAAATCTGCCCCTCATCAAGAGCTGCACATTCCCTGATGGTTTGCAACTGGGGGGCTGCGCCCCACCCAACCCCCCTGTTGCTGGTGTTTTCCACGCCAGATGGAGAACGGTGAAGATCGTAGAGCTAACAGAGAACCAAGGACAATTGTGACATTCCATCCGCAGTAACAGCTGGTGCCTGGAGCGTCCTTGTAATTCTACATGAGAATGACAACCCTCTCCGTGCTCTGGCTGTTTTTTTTCGGTTCGCGCCTGCCTGCTTTCTGATTCGCGCCCCTGGGTTTTTGATTCGCGCCGCCTCTGTTTTCTGATTCGCACCTTCCTGTTTTCTGATTGGCGCACCCTGTTTTCTGATTTTCTGATTCGCGGGGGCTTGATTCGCGCGTGCGTTTTCTGATTCGCGCTTCACCCTCTGTGTTGCAAGCTTGCCTTGCAAAAGCGCAGTCAAAGCGCAACGATTTCCAACATTGCCCGAAGAACGGAATGGAATTTGATTGGGATTCGCTTGAGACATTGTGCCCCCAACGCATGGGAAAATAGTTGCGCAGCGGGGAGGTGCTGACGTTTCGTTCTCCAGTGTTGAAGGCCACCTTGCCAGCTCTAGCCGCTAGCCGCAGTGATCCTGTCATGAATCAAGTATTGCATCAAGACCAATGCCAACATCCTAACACAGATCGTGTGTTGCAACAGAATTTTGAATCTATGGCGCGTGCCCGCGCACCTACGTGCATCGCTTGGAGCGAAGACTCGCATGTAAATCTGCAACCGCATCATTTATGAGGATGGAACAACTCAGCAACCTTCCTCAGCTACTCGTTTTGAGAACAAGTCAACAAGCACCGCTTTCGTTGCTCACGGAAAAAAACTGCTGGGCTGCCCTCGCCGGGCGGCTGGCATGCTGCTTGCAACAAAGTCGCCCGTCCAATCTCCGCCTTGAAAACTTGTGCCCGCATCATACCGCGTGGTCCTGCCCCTGCGCGCATTTGGCGCCAGGACACACCAGCACCAAAAGGAAACCTTTCCACGCTCGGTTGCCGTGGCGTGCCTCCTCTTCAGACATCGTATTTTTTCGGCGAGGACGGGGAGCTGCCGCTTGCATGAATGGCGGCAGCAAAGTGGGCACTGGACGCTGACGCCTGCGGTGCCTCTGGGCACAACGGTGCTGCTCTGGCAACGGCCACGCCGGCGTGTCGGCGCAGGGGTCGGTTGTGTTTGCGAGCCGATGGCGCGAGTGTCATCCGCTCAGGTTTTATACTGGCCGACTGCGAAATGGGATTGAAAGATTGCATGCTTCCTGATCTGTGGGTGAAATAGAGGAAAACAGTAGGAGACAGCAAGGCACAAGCTCACAAAAAGGGATTCTAGTTGATGTGCTGCTTGTTGCTGCTCCGTGACTGAGATGAATATGCAAAGGTCCAACATAATGGGAACACAACAAAAATGTATTGTCTTTTTTGTGGTTACGTAGCAGCCGTTGCTACCCTTCTCCTGGCCACCCCTTCCTCAGCCACGCTTCTCCCACACGTGACCGCGCACGTTACGCGCCGTGGCCTCAGCAAGCGCGCGTTTTGTTGGGAAGCAAGCGAGCAAAGGTTTTTGCACACTGGGTGCAAGGTAGCCGTCGGCATCTGCCAAGGCCAGCACCGCCTCAGGCAGGGCCACTGAATCACTAGGCGGCGCCGACCTGCGCCCACATAGACCAACTTTTGCGTGACCAAGATCGTTTGTTAAGCCGTGTAAAGTAGGAGCCAGGACATCACAAAGCCAGGGAGTCAAAAAAAACAAGACGAGGAGCCTGCGGCACTTACGAGCTCGCCCACCGTCTCCTGCATCTCTGTGCGCCAGTCGGCAAGCGTGCTCCAAGGTGGAGATTCGGGAAACTCAAAATACATAGAACCCCCTTCCGGCCCTCATTCACTCCCTGTATGTCTGTGGGATCCCCAGTATTCGAGAAACGATTTCAAGATGCATCTAGTAGTTCCACCGAAAATTAATAAGTTCAACTGGATGCAAGATCCATGACCTCGCAGTATGAAATAAACCCCAGACCATCCCAGACCCTCGAAACACTGAAACCATCAACTTTTTAGAATGATGGCCATTTATAGATGGCATATGGTCAGTGGCCCTGGACTCAGTTTGAGGATGTGTTCATGCAGAAATGCATGGAAGACTTTTGCGAATGTTTGTGGGTCGCTGAGAGCAGGGCCACTCTTGCGGGGTCCTTCTAACATAGATCCAAACTGCTGCATGGCAAGGGGGCGAACTCCAATTTAAAGGTTAGATGAAAATTTCTCTCCCTTATTGCAAGGCATCAGCAAGAAACCCTGAGCACTGCAAACGGCATCCACCTGTTTTTGCCTATGACTGGCAGGTGACATGCGCACAAGGAAAAACATGATTTGCACAAGGACCCAAGAGCTGCAGAGGCAGCTGTTTGCCTGTATGACTCTGTATGGCACATACGGTTCACGTGATTCATCACAAAAACTCAAGGTGCACATCCTACCCGAAGCAGGTGAAACATCCAAAGGCACTACGAGTTGAGCTACGACTGCACAATCGCACTTCATTTACCATTTGCAGGCTGCATTGGGGCGCTGTCATGCGCGTCTAGTCTAGTGTAGGTTCACGAGGTTCAGTCCTCGCATCATCCAAACGAGTTGATTCATGTGGGTTGCTGCTTTGGGTTGCTACTTGCCTGAAGTGACAAGGAAACACTTCTGGAAACTCCTGCCGAAAGTGCAGTTGTGGAAGGGACTCACCGTCCGCAAGATTCTTTCGGCCGCAAGATCCAAAACTGTCCAGTCCTCGCGATGAAGTGGGATGGAAGCAGGATGCTGAGGAGAATTTGGCATTACTATCACCTCGGAAGCGAACTTGCCTTTCTGTTGCGGGCATTTACCCAGAGATTCAGAACAGCTAGTTTGCAGGGACATATGAACGGTCCTAAAGAGGACCGTCAAGGGGCATTTTCAAGCGGAAGTCCCCTTGCATACCCCAAACTGCTCAGCATGTAAAGCCCCAACCGGCGAGACCTCCCGAAAGTGCGTTCTTGCAAGGGAACATCGTCAAGGATTATCTACATCACTGTAATTAGACCTCTAGATGCGAAGCAATGTGAACTTTGCAGGCCGGCCTTACATCGCTAAAAGCAATCACGTGTATCAACTAAATGTTGCTATGCGGATCCTTGCACATTCTTGGCATGACAGTGCCGCCTGCAGAGGAAGCATCTTCTCGTTTGCAGAGGCTTGCATGTTTCCCGTGTTCAGATGCGTCAGAATTCGTGGGTGCGAGGTCCATACACTTTCATCATAAATCACAGAATCGCTCAACGATGCCCATCAATGTCAAATGACCCCTGACCCCTCGCGGCCACTCAAGCACATCTCAGCCAGGGCCAGTATCGGTGCAGAGCTGTGCTAAAACTAAAGAGATTGTAAGGAATCAGTTCCGACTTCCCACGAGCATCCTGGTCAGAGGTCAAGCATGTTCTGGGTCGCCTGACAAAGGCACCGCCACGGTGCAAGAAAGCTAGCAAGATGGTTTATGATGTCCTTCCTTTTTAGGCTGCCTGATGAGTAGAATCCGAATTTCTTTTGCGGGCTAGCCTCCAAATTGACGCGAAATTTGGGGTTGATTTTCATGCGCCTCAACAATGCTGGAAGCTAGAGGTTTGAGGCTTTCTCTGTGGGAGTCATAGCGACGAGGGTTTAGGATTTCCAGGCTCTGTACAGCAGTAGGGTTTGTTGGCTTGCATGCAGGAACCGTGGCCAAGACATCACCACATGTATGTTGCCAGGCCATTGTTCTACACATTCATCCTGGAGTCCCGAACCCTCCACTCTCACACGCTCTACCCTGTTATTGGTATGTAGGGAGGTCTCAGATTGTTGATTGCTTAGCTTGTGAAGTCATTCAGCTTGGAATGCGTCATGGAACAGGTCTTAGGTATCGTTGAAGCGGGATAGGGGTAAGGGTTGTTGCGGGGGGCCTCATCAGGACTAGTCTCATGCATCCTCCAGCGGCGCACTCTTATGAGGGATTATACAGGGATTCTGCTGAAATTCTCCTCCCTATGCCATTCACGTGAACTCCCTGTGCAAAACTGTTTGATTCCAATTCTGTCCCACACCAGCAGACTTGCAGAAGTCGAGGGATCCAATGTGGAACAAGATTTTTACGCTGCATACATATTCCCTGCATGTTCCGCAACACATCTGCATTGCACACCCAAAAGCCCCGACACTACTAAACCCAACCTGGCAGTTCTTGAACTGGGGGAAGCCTGAGGATGTAAGAGGGTGATATGGGGCCCTTTACAGATTGTCGGGAGCTAATTTTTAGAACCACCCACCTGCGCCGAGGGTGCGGAGCTTTGTGTGGTGCCGGACTCATCCAGATCGCCGAGCAGATCGGAGACCTTGAAGCACTACTTGAGTAGCTCTAGAAAAGAATTCTGACAACAGTATCAATGGTGGTAATAGTACTAATGGTAGCACTAGCAAGAAATATGCCAACAAAGCAGGGATGATAACAAATATGAGGGTAATGATCAGGTGGTTGATCCAGGTACCTATCGCTCGTATCTCTATTATGTAAGATACTTCACTTGTGCTTTCAAACCGTTGGTGGGGGGGTTCAGGCATGGCCTTCCCGTCCAGACATGAACGAAGAAAATCTGACGAGGGCTTTTATTGACATGAAGTCGTTCTCACGCGTCCTCGAGCTTAGTTTCTGTTTGAATGACCAGGCGCTGGCCATGACTCCAAATGAGCTATAGTCTAAACTCCTAGTATCCCCCTTAATTACCCCTACGTATAATAGGAACCCTATATACTCCCTTATATATAACCCCCTTTTAAAGAGTGTAGACTATATAGCTCAATGACTCCAATGTCATGTCCTGGCCATCTCCGTGACACCGCTTAAGGAGCGACTGCAAGTAACAGAGGCCAAAAGTTCTACAGGCCTAAAGGCGCCGCAAACGCCGTGTGCGAAGCCTGCGTGAACACGCTGTGCAACACAGATTTGTAATCTTGCTGTCTGATGCAGGAAAAAAACCCGATGCCCATTCCCGACGTCCTGAAGACCTCCCTGCGGCTTGCAACCCTGGACCATTCAAAGCTGCAGCCTCTAAAAGCTCTTAGGGCACTGCCCCGGCCGGCTTAGCAGAAGATGCTGGCTCCTCCATGGACCTTCTTCCAGTGAGATCCAGACAGCAGAGGAGGGTCTGAAAGGGCCCATGGCTTTGAGCTTTCAGGTTTCAATGGAGGTTCACTGACATGCGTTGAGGATGGATGTGCTCGGGTTTAACTTCGGACTCCTCATGTTTCTGCCTGTGAAGAAACAGTGATTTGTGAATACACACAAACCCCATGTGTACACATACACATCCGTTGGGATTCAAGATTGTGGCATTATGTAGGGGAAAGCATCGCATGCAGGCACTGCATCGAGAATGAACGGGCTTGGGGTTTCAGACCCGTTGTATGGGAGTATGGGCACTACTATTGCAATGATGCATATGTTCATGAATGGCAAGATTGCACTTATCTGAAGCTTAGCTTAGCTTGCATCCAACCCTATAAATGAGCCGCTGAGCCCCCAAACCCCCGGCCCCTAAGCCTTAAAATTCTGGCACGAGCCCCTGGCAGGAGGTCGACCATGGGTGCTGGCGCAGGTTTGGGCGGCTCTGCAGCAGCTGGCGCAGGCCTGTGTACAGGTTCTTTTCTTTTGTTTCAGGGTTTGGGGCTGAGGGATGGGGCTATAGGGTTTATTATGTCGAGTTTTGGTTTGGGTTTCGGGTTTTGCGCGTGTGCATGCGTATATATATATATACACGCATACATATGGGAGTGTCCCGAAAAACCACGGCCTTTGGTTGGCCGCTCGAGACATTTTGATCCATACTCTATGGATCGCAGTATATCGCCGTTTATGAACGTTTGGAGGGAGGGTAGATGGAACGAGAAAACGCTCGATGATCCATACCCTATGGATCGGGGTATGGAACGGCTGTCCGCGAGCACCAAGTTCCATGCTCAAGATTTTGGGATACACCCGGACATGTATAGGTCCTCTTGGTATGCTTTGGTAAGTGTAGGAACCAAGACCTATGAAATTCCCTTGTTCATGAGCCTATATACACATGATTCAAGAAGCGAGGCTTAAGACTGGTATTTGTGAGTATTTGGATGGTCTAGGCATCTTGTGGGGTCATGAGAAGAATTTCAAGGAGTATGGAGCAGGTGACCCTCCTGTATTCTTGCCATCACGCTGTGAAGGCGTCCCAGGAAGCAAAACCAGCCTATGGGGCCGAAATGAAAACCAATTGTGGTTCAAGATTCCTTGTCTAAGTGAGGTCTGAGGCACCTCAAATAATCCTCAAAATGATCCAGGCGATTATTTAATTTTGGGGTGGGAGCAGGAGCGCATCAGGGGTGTTAGTGACTCAGGGACAGTGGGTGGTGCTTAGGGATTCGGAGATTCAAGGCTGATTTCTTGGGCCACGCACAAGCACACAAGTGCGGGATTGCATGGTACAGGTCCAGCACTACTAGCAAAAGGAGAAACCAAGCCGATGGAGAGGGCAGATACTGCTGACCCGCAGTCAACAAATTCACAAGCAAATGTGAACAACCAGAATGCTGCTACTTTGGGCGTCTTTTCTAGTTGGTGTTCCATTAGTTGAGGCTAACTACGGGGACCGAGGCAGTCCAGCCAGCTACTATCATCCGTCCTTGCAAGGCACGAGCAACTTTTGTCACGGCTACTTCCTGCGCGAGCCCGGCAAAGGTGTAAAAGTAAGGCTCACGTTTCAGGGGCTACTGGGCACTGCGCGTGCAAGGCATTTCAGATTGTGCTCACTTTAGCCCATCTGGTCCAGATCACACCGGGGGGACTAGCACTTCTTCACCCCATCACAAAAGGATTCGAGCGAATTTCTCCACCGTACCTTCAACATCCTTCAGCCTTCCTCCCCGTCTCTACGACGAGATGATGCTATGGCGTGATGATGTGTGATGATGGGATGAAGCCTAAACTCTACTTGCCTATTTTGCCAATTCATGCCCTTGCAGAATAGAGGCCTATCACACAAATGACGAGTTTTCGTTTCAGCCAATGCCAAGCCCTTATGATCCTGCTCTTCTGCCGAGTCTCGTGGGCGTGGGAGCCGTGGGGCCGGCGGCATAGCTCTGATACGCAGCTGGCGCCGGCCTCCAAATACCAGAAACTTTACAGGAGGCTGAGAAAGGGGACCAATCAATGGAACTCGTATGTGTCCCACCCTCCCCTAGTACCCGAACATCTCAGAAAGTGTCTGTCCCAAACCAACGTAAGCCGAATCTAGTTTGGGTGGTTGGCAGGCCCTTGAAGAAGCCGTGCAAACTCAGGGCCGAGCTGACTGTTCGGCACGCCCCCAACCATCACCGGGTTGTTCGCGCCTGGGCGCAGTCATCAAGGTTTCAAGGGCTTATTCTTAGCAAAAAGGCATGTTCTCTGCGCAGAGGACTCCTCAGAACGGGAGCCCTCCACAAGACGCAGGATCTAGCAGATACCTCAAGGATTTCATTTCTTGTGCCAGGACCAGCTGAAGAAGAGGAGGCGATACTTTTCAAGATCAAAAGTAGGACGTTGCTGCTATCAAGATTAAAGCCCTTTCAGCGTGTATGATTCGGCATCACGACCACGGTATACACCTGAAATTCTTATACGCTCGCAGCACTTGAGGTTACGAGAAGTCTTGGTCGATTCTGGAATCCTCTGACCGGATCTGACTGGAATCGCTCACATGATGTTAATATGGAATCACCCTTAATTAGGGTTCTACATCGCTTTCCTCAAAACCTCTTCTCTGTTGGCTTTTCGCTCTTGCACTGACACATTGCTCAGAATTCAGCATATCCGAGCCGCACAGCTCCAACCTCGCAGACAAGACAAGACAAATCTTAGGAAGCGACCGACTACACCGCCCCCGAAGGCTGCAGCGTAATGATTCCTCAAATGCAAGCGAGGCAAGGCTAGAGGTCAAACCGGGAATGACGGCAATGCCGCGTTTTACCATAAGTGAGAGTGGGAGTGAATCAATGAGATGCGGTAAGGCAAGTTGTGATTCTGGAGTCATGCATGATTAGAATCGGCTCAATAGATCAGTTGAGGACCTCAGCTTATCACCGTACAGTGCCTCTCTATGCTTCGCATCTAGACGCCAAAGTCCCCGGAGCTCACACAAAACCCCTCCTATGTGGGGGTGAAGGCCTGATTAAATTGGAGAAGCTTGCTGACTCACAGCCATAACTTTCAATCCATCAAGGAGAGGGTGGAGATAACAGACATCACGGAAGAGATCCCTTCACACCAATGGAGCTGTGAAACCACACGTGGAAACTTCTGCGTTATAAGGCTCACCTCTTACAGCTTGTGCTGGAACTCGTGCTCATACTGATACGAATATTTTTCTCATCCCCATCGCCGTATCCCTCATACTATAGGAATATCACCACTACAGCGCTAATAAGAATAATCATCGTTGCCCCAATTCCAATGTCTATCAATAAGCCAAGACTATATGAACACGCAAATTCACTGTATGGATTTGCAGATTCATTTCGAGTGGGAAGGGTAATGCGAAGGCTCGTGCTAATAAGAGCAATATACTTCTACTAGTACTGATAAGAAGACTAAAAACACTACGAATACAAATGCACATGCTGTGCTAGTGCTAGTGCTATTGCCGAAGCTTCGGATTCGGCGACTACGAACATCAATACAAAAGCCAACACTCGTACCAAGACTAACACCGCTACGAAAAGAATACTAGCTCCGACGCCACCACCGAGATGCACGCCTTCATGAATTTCATTTGTGCAGCATGTCTAGGGGAGAATTCAATTCTTTGGGGGGGGGGCCCTCCAACTCAAAACAACATGGACGCTGACATCATTCTTTTTGAGGGACAATGATCTTTGCAGGGCCTTGTCTTGGATTTTATGCTTATGTGGTGGAATGTACATGCGAAGCCAACACTGTAGCCAATGCGCTGAATCCCAAAGCGGAAAACCCAAAGCCCTTTGAGCTTCCAACGCTGAAGTCTTAGGTTGAGCAGGAGGGGCTTGAAATCCCCTGCAGCATGATGGGTTTAGGGTTGTTTGCGGCTTAGGGTTTGGAGCCAAAAGATCTAGGGGCTAGGGGCTTTCCAGGTTGTTGGGACCCAAACTCGGTAAGGATGGGTCTGTGCGTGCGCATTGCATTTAGTCTTTTTTGCTGTTAGGACGGGGCGTGTTTGTTTGTGCTCTTGGGGGCTGGTGTATGGATTGTTCATTTCTTGCCATTGGGGCGGGGCCGACGTGTTTGTGTGTGCATGTGTGTTTTTCTGCTGAAGAGGACGCGTGGTTGTTGGGGTATCGGGGGCACAACATGGACACATAGCCATGGCCAAGCCTTCGGCTCATTTGGTGGCACCACGATACAGTTTTAGTGTTCATACGGGTTTTTGTGTTTATAGGGTTTAAGGCTTCAGGGTTTAGTGCTTCAAGATTTACGGTTTAGTGCGGAGTTCTCAGGCGAATGGACCCTACTTACCCTACTTGGTTATTGTAAGTTGGAGGTGATTTATTAATGGAAAAGAAACTGGAGGCTACCATTGATTTCGGGCACTCAAGACTGAAGGGTTTAGAGGATGGAAAGCAACATGGATACTTAAATCATATTCGGATCTAAGGGCAGCCATCGGGATCAATTCCTCCATGCCCTAACAGCCAGTAAATCTGGTACTTTGCAGAGGGAATCTTGCACCAGTGCCGGCCTTCTAAATTCCAGCACCTGGGGGCTTCCCCTAAACCTTAAACCCTAAACCTGGGTACCATTCTGGGTACAATTCTGGAGGTCCCCCAAAATAAGGAATATAGCAGGTGGGGGTCTAGAATGGGGTCCCCCTATTGATGGAAACTAATCCCATAAGCCTGAAAAATCGTTTCCATTTTCTTGCCCATCCTCTAAACCCTTCCTTACTTACCCTGCAATCACCAGCCAATATATCCCTGTACTTTCCAATTTTTCTGCCCATTCCTTCATCCACAAGCACCCTTTGCTCAGGCCATTGCGCTGGAGGCTGGGTCGAGTAGCCCGCGGCGGGCCTGCTGAGCCATTTTGGTACAAAGCGGTTGGGGTTTCGGGTTCAGGGTTGTCTAGAAGTAGGGTCTCGGGCTCAGGGTCTTCAGGCTATAAGGCTTGAGACTTCCGGGTTTAGGCTTATGAGAGCTTGGTAGCCTTGGGGCCGATGGGTGGATACAATAGTAGCTCCTGTTCTTCGAGCCGTCGCTGTAACATCTCAAGCCGAAATCCCACGGCCCAACGGCTGAACACTGAACTACAAACATATATCCCAACGTCCAAGGACGCTGAACCTCCAGCCCAAGACTCCAGGGAACCAGAACCTCGAGCTCCTGCCTAAACACTTCAGGACTCGAAGCCCTAAACCTTGCACATCCCCCACGAGATATGTAAGTTCATATACTTATCAATCACAAACCTAGGTTGAGTTCTGATGTTTCTTTGGCCAAACCCAAACCCCGAAATCCCTCCGTCAGCTCAGATCTGGACCCTGCCCCGGGCAGCTGCCCCGGCCTCGAGCCCCGAGGACCCAGAAAAAAGTGTTATAGGGATTGCACAAGGATTACAGTTATCAGGCATTTACATCACGTTTCAGGTATAGTTCTCTTCAGCAGAATCAGCAACGAAAACAAGAAGACACAAAACACAGCAGAAATGACAACGCAGCGAGCAGAACGAAGGCACTGAGAACGGACACAAGAGTGCCAGCGACACAGAAAATATAATACGCGCAATCATGCATCATGATGCTGGTGAGTCTGAGAGTATTTTTGGATCTTTAATCCCATGGACGGGCAAATAAACTGGCATGGCTGAAGGCGGGCTAGATATACACGGACAAATTTCAGGGCATACTGGAAGCGCAGGTGCCGAGTTACGCCGTGTTACTGGATGATTACTGGAGAATCAGCACATGGACACTCACATGGAACACGAAATGGAAACAAGAGCTACAGATGGTTATAGGGCTTAGGGCTTATAGGGCTTGGAAGAGCTGCTGCGCGTTTCCCGCACTTTGTACAACAAATGTTCGAAGCCCAAATCTGCCGGCTGCGTTGCACATTTAGGCCATGACGGTCTACTTCTTCGTCGGGTTCTACAGCTACTAGACGATGCCCAGGGGGACCCAGGATGGCAATAATGGAAGAAGTCTCAATCAACTGTATTTAAGGAGCAAATAGCATTTAGGTTCGACCAAGAACTAGCTATTGGAATTGACAGACCCAACGTGCTTGGAGATCTCACCCGTGCAATAGGGCACCGGCATCTGCGGCTGACTTGTCGGCTGGCAAATCCGCGGCTGGTCGGACTGACAAGGTGCAACTTACCCTTACAAAAAGGATGTCCGAGGGCTTAGGCCGCAGCATGTAGGGCTGAGAAGGTTGTTTGTTTTGAGGATTATGACTTGGGGCTGGAATTCAGTACAAGGCTGGGTGATATTCGAGCCAACAAAGATTGGATTGCAGCTTGCGTCAAAAGAACAAACATCTTCAGCAAAGTAGTATATGCAACTCCATCGATTTCAGCAAAATTGACTGCGTTGGCTATGCTACCTGCGTCTAGGCATCAGGTGCAACCACATGATACTGGGACCTGCAACCATGATGGGAACTGCAACCATGATGTGCAAACGGGGTCCCGCTATGCCAGAAAAAGGAAAAGCAACTAAAAGGGTTCTTCAGTCGAAGGGGGCTGCAGGTCCCATTAGCCCAACTTTTCAGAACCTTGGATGTCCTTTTCTGCTTATGTTCCAGTGCATCACAGGAGCGGCCCACTATGAATCCCAACCACTCGGGTGTAGTTCCAATTTCAAGACGGGCCCACTCTGTAGTCCCCCAGACCTATAACAAACATTTTCATACAAATACAGAATATTTCCTAGGGAGACTACAGCAAAATTTGAGCATCCCGGCTTTCAAGTTTGGAGACAGGCCTCCTTTGAACCGGCCACCCAGCCCCAGATGGTGTCGACTCCATCCAGAACCAAGTCCAGGGCATCAACGGTAGCATCCTGGGCCCATTGGGAACCTCCCTTTCATCAAAATCAGCTGCATTTTCATGTACTGGTATTCTCGAGAATGTCTTGCGGAGCATATTCAGAAGAGCAGCTGTACACATTCCTGTGACAAACGGTTGTCTTCTCTACAGTGCCAAACCTTACGTTGGCTTTCTGAAATGGATGAAAGTACATCAGGCAATTCCCAACACCGCATGGCTGATTCTCTGTATAACCGTGGATACCCTATATGATCCCCGCATAACCCCCAACCCTAAACACTAAACCCGATACGTCATCCTCTTATAACCCCTAATGATCTCGGCTCTTCGGGTTCATGCAAACAGGCTGACAGTTCTGCGTAAAAGGGCACCCGAGGCACTGCTGCGATCTTTTTGCTTACTGATAATTGTACTAATACAAATACCAGTACTTGTAATACTGATAATAGTACCTAATACTAACAATAGCAAAAATTAGGAATACTCACCTTAGTACTTGTAATCACAACCATTGTCAATGTGGCTGGCACACCATTGGGATACAAGGCCTCATCATAATGTATAAAACCTCAGGCGCTGTTCGCATTTGGAAAAACTTTCCAGCATATGGGTGGGGGAAGCAAGAGGATCCTGCGGACTCGTGACAAAGGCGTGTACATGGCATGAGCCAATGCCGTGCTGGAGCCTGGCGTACTCGAAAGAAATTTAGTTCGTTGAGGTACAGAATAAGGTTGCCTACAATTGTTCAAGCCTGGGGGCCCTTCCCGACACATGGTTGCCATTCACGCGCCTCACCCATCCCACCAGCGCAATGTGACTTCTCAGGTTACGGTTAGATCCCTTCACAACATTACAATCCTTGCGTGAAGTGGTGCGTGACTGAACGTGAAAGTGCAATCACCCAAAGTCCCCGGACTTGGATCCAGAGCACTATGCCTTTAACCTAACACTCTGACCTAAAACATTATCAGTGAAGCTCTAGCCCCAAATCCCTCAACAAAGGCGTCCTTCAGAGCTCCAACAGCACCCTTTTCTCTGAAATCATCGACCATGTCACCTCAGTCAAAACGGCTACATGTGGTGCAGTGGGCATGAGGGTTGAGAGTGCAGTGGTTCAATACTTTTGGGCCTCAAACCTTCCGAAAGGGCCATCCTGTGGGTGCTTCTAGATACCAGGGCTTCGGCAAGCGGTACTTCTTGGAAACTGCTTCATTCTAATTACAATGCAAAAGAGAAGATCTGTGCCTGTCAGCTGACATTACCTTGATGGTGGTTAAACTAAGGAATAAGGCAATAGGGATTATACAGGAACTATGTTCCCTTACTCCCTACTCACCACCCGTAAGTTACATCCAGGGCAAAATGGACGTCTGACATCTCTCGCGCAGAACATGTTGAAAGCTCTCTTTTCGTAGACCCCGAGAGTCACAAGTGTACCACGCATGCAAGCTTTGGTTCTGAAACATGATAGCTGCAACTGCAACATATCCTGCAGCAAAAAAGATGCAAGAACTACGTAGCCCAGACTCACAACACAAATCCTTGACCATGACCAAAGCAACACATAAAATTGCACAGTAAGTTCCAGCACTTGAGGTCACTTTCATGCAACCCGAACAAATGAAACACTTCTGACAGATAAACCTAACTAGCTGAAATTCTGAGTAGACGTCTTACACAACCTAGAAAATCTGCAAGCAGAATCGCGTGTGAGCTTTGAAGCTCTGTATGGCATATGGTGATGATGCAAGGACATTTGGGCAAATAGATCTGCCGGAGCCACATGTAGAGCTTACATCTACATCAGAAACCATCACAGACACATTTGCGATACAGCAACAGGCAAAACTAAAGCTGTGGATTCTTCAATGTTGTTCCCAGCTGCAGAAAACAAGGACAAAGACTCCCTTGCTGGCGAAAGGCCAATCGAATCGGCAACGAATTCCGCTGCCTGAAGTGGAAGGAAGCTTTCATACCCATTAAAAATCAGATGTGGATTTCTCATTAGAGATCAGACTGTCGCACGACTAGAACGGGAACAGTAGGCGGAAACGTGGCAGAAATTACTAAAGACACGCAGGCGACAAGCCCTTGCGAGGCCCTGTGAAAGGAAAAACATGTACCCAGGCTTTCATGATTAGAAGAAGCCAAGCTGACTCCACGTTCCTTGCGATAGCGTACACCACTGACGCAACAAGGCAAGGTCATCGAATCGCTCCTAGAAGTTACCCCATGGATCGCGGTATGCGTAGGAGATCCATGATCATCACCTCAGCCTAACAAATAAACCGCTGCTCAGCTGTCTAAGAAGCTGCCGTTCATGAGTCACTTACATGGGACGTGAAGTGGAATGTCTAATATCTGAAGGCGGGGTGAAGTTCGAGGTTCGGCGCGAAGAGACAAAATGGAGGGCGAACGAGCGTTGAAGAGCACATCTACGGGTTTGCAGCCTAAGCTCTCAAGCCTCCTCGAAGTCTAGTCCCGTACAATGAGAATTTCCATGGTCTAGTGTTGTAAAACTTGCCAGACATAAGATATCAGAGTAAAACTGGCAATTAGCTAAGAAGACGAACCACATGATCAGAAGAAGGTTGAATCTATCCTGTAGGCTGCTACTGTGCCCGAGAATCAGAAGCCTTGTCCAAACCAGACCCCAAGTCCCCAAGGTCTAAAGCCCTACCTACACACCTCCGAAATACCCCTAGTAGCCTTGAACCCATAAGGTTAGTTGGGGAGGTCTAGGTACCTTTGCCCCCTTGAGCCGCGGCCTGGCCAGCAATGTTGTTCTTTTTTGTAGGCTCTTCCTCAAAACTCACTGGCAATCTGGAAGGACCACTACGCCTGTCGGCTTTCAGAAGAAGTTTTGCAAACTTCCAGATTCACTCTTTGCTGGTCGTCGTGTAGGCATCCTCGGACTCCAAAAGCAAGAATCACACAATATCACACATAGAATGACACAGAACAGGTGAAGGGCCAGAGATGAAACAGCAGATTGAGCCTTGGGACTTGAGTGGATGAGCTTGCGAGGCTTCGAGCTCAAATGTGCAGAGTATGACGATAGAGTGAAGTATGCGCATGTCTGGAACACTCACTGGGAGAGGTCAGGCTTAGGTGCCCAAAAACGACACATAATCATATCATATCATATCATATCATGTCATATCATATCATGTCATATCATGTCACATCATAGCATATATTATCATATCATACCCAAACCCTTCGGGCCCAAGATAGATGAACCGGTGGACCAAGCAGTTAGAATTAGCACTTTCTAGTTCTGTTCATTGATTTATTTGACGCATGAAGCCCCTATATGTGGCTATATATATATATATATATGTATGTACATATCTCTATGGATAACAGCACTGGCCCTGCCATCCGCGTCCTCTGGCGGCGGTTCAAAATTGCCGAAACCCTGGCACCACTGCACAGTTGCTTGAAACTTGTACGAGTAAAATGTATGTAAACATGAAGAGAACAATTCTTGGGCGGTTCTACTCCTTCGCAGCACCACAGTCACTACAGGGATCATGTACGCAACGTACTGGATTACAGCTCAGAATCAACAAGCTGACTGTTGTCCCACCTAATTTCTTAGAGTCCCTTCCTCTAATAATATTCTCATTGGCCCACATCTACACTCCAGGAAGACATGAAGAATGCACTGTGGCTGAGTCAGTCCAAGCTCACAAGCGCGCGTCGCCCGTTCTCCGTCGCTATTGACAGATTCATAACCAGAATGCCCGAACCATGATACATAGCAGAATTTTATTCATAAGCTGGGTATCTACACTGTAGACTTGAGAGAAGTGGGTTATCTGATGCCCTGAATTTAATGATGCGAAGCCGCGATCTTCGCAGCGGCTACAGATGCTCGTAAAGGCGTAGCTTCCCGGAACCCCCGAAGCCCAAATCTCAGGATACCCGTGACCAGTGCTGTCCTTGCCTGGCATCGTGCTTTCAAAGATGCACCTAGCAGGAGTTCCAAGAAAGCATGCGTGGGCTCAAAGACTTTAAGAAGGCCTACATGAGATACTAACTGGATCTGAAGAGATTGAGCTCTTGAGCGTGTGCAAGCAAGAAGTCCCTCTACCTACCGTGTTTCCACTATGTGGGGAATTCCTTGACGTTGTGATGCCATGACATGTTCTCCAAGATTGCAGTGGCAGCAGCATGCTGTCCATTTTGTTAGCACGATGTCTGACAATCAGTGCATACAACTTGCTGTCCATTAGAACACGTCGTGGATCCACGGTTGATAGGCAAAACCTGGTACCGCTTACAGTTGCAGCAATTCCCGCTATTGGAAGGTAACCAGACGGGTGGAAGATGTACTTGTGCCACCACATGATCCACACGTTGGATACTGCCGCGGCTTCGTAACAGCTTGATAAGACTCATTGGCTGAATATTGCACCTAACTATAGACTAGTACGGGGTGAGTGCAGTACACAAGCCATATTCATGCTGGGAACGTATGCTTGTTCTCCCACTGCTGATGTGCTAATATGGCCAGTCCCATCCCAACAAGCAAAGCTGGATCCAAAGCTCCAAGGCCCCCGAGACCCTGCCAACCTCCGTTGCAGGCCCTACACCCAAGCCTGCCGTAGACTTTTCCACGCTATGTGGCGTGCGGATCGCTTCCTGGTCCATGCAACGTATAGGAAAAAGAGGGTCTCTTGAAAAAACACTCGAAACGAAGAGACTCGTTCAATCTAATACCCACAATGATCCTAATACAGCAATGGGAAGAAAGCTACAAAAGGAACACAACCCGTAGCACAACAGGGGCGACGGCCGGAACACAGTACTAGCCGCCTCGAGAGTACGACTAGTGAACTCCAACGTCTGACACCCTACAGACGTCATTCGTCCTCAGCTTGTTCAATACCCTCCACGTTCTCGAGACTAGCGCTTGTAAATCAGAACAAGAGACGCGAGAAACTAAAGGGTTCCATATGAGCTATAGTCTAAACTTCTGAAAGGGAGTTATATTGGGGATTGTATAGGCAGAGCATTATAGGGTCATTAAGGGGAATACTAGGAGCTTACAGTATAGCTCATATCCCGTATACCTCAGAGTGGCCATGGCTCCGGGACATACTTGTAGACAGATAGCAGTTGACACTCTGCTGGTTATATACAACATGACAGCGCAACCCCAATGCTTCTGAGAGGGATGCCGAAACGAATGTTGAGCTAGGAAGGCTCACAGGTAAATCAGGGTTTGGATTGAACGCGGCCACGGTCCCTACCACCGATCTCCAGTGGGTCCAGGTAGGACTTGCGACTAACTTGCGACAGGTTCCCCAGACCAGGAGGCAGCTGGCATACATACCCGTAGTTGCCATGGACCCGAGTGCACTGTCAAGAAACAATGTCTTCAGGAAGGCTGTGGCCATGGCTACTAGCTCTGATTTCAAGGCACTGGATTTGCGAGCTAGAAATTCAGGCAGTCACTGGTGCGGTTGGTGCTACAAATCTTGCATGAACTTAATATACTATAGCGCTATAATTCTGAAGGTACGTAATGCAGACTTAGCAACTGCTTTGCACTGTTGAACAATCAACATGCGTTTTTGCCCACGCACACTTCCCGAACTAGGCTTGAGGAATCCTCCGCTCTTCCGCAGTGCAGCAATCTATTTTAAGAATCTGGAGCACTGGTTCTGTGGCCTGGAAGATGTTGCAAGCCACGTGAGGAATAGCAGGGAACAAACGTTGCAAACTTAACCCTGCGAGGCCATAAACTTCTCATCGCCAACTCTTACACCCAGCAACCTCCCAAACCAG